ATATGATTTCAGTCATAGTGACTGTCAAGGCTTTAATCATGCAGTCACTTGCTCACTTTCATTTGAAAAATAATATAGATATAATTGCAGGTTTTTAAAATGTAAATTGCACAATCCACATTCTTTCTGTTATTTCTGAGCATTATTTTGTGTTAACAGAGAGACAAGAAAAAATACCCGAAATCTAAAAAGAAAATCCCAGCTAAACGCAAACTGGAGGAAGGGGAAGAAGAGGCCACAAAAGATGAACCTAAGTCTGAAGATGTGCAGCCAGTAAGTTTATATAGAGACTTTTAGTCAATGATGTATTTACATGTACATTTAACTTGATAGTAACTGCTATGCTATTTCGCTCTTTTTGTGCCAGGTTTATAGTATCCAGTATATCTATTTTATGTTTGACCTAATTTTAAATGTTATAAAAACTGGAGTTTCTGCAACTGGGAATAGACTAATTGGCACCATCTAAGGTAGCCTAAAAAGAGGCTGACTGCATTGAATGACATCACAAAAGACTACAAAAGGGTGAAAATTTGCATGAAGTGGAGTTTACTTTTTTAAAAGTCCCAAGGGCGAAACTGCTTCAAGAATATTGTCTTAGAGATCAGAACATAAATGACCCTAAATTTGAACCATTGTGCATAACAGCAACAAAATTATCCAGGCATGTATAAATTTTTTCAGCTTTTATCCTGTGTTTTACTGCACTCCCTAGCCTGTTTTTTTTTTTTTTTTTTTTTTTTTTTTTTTTTACTGACCCAACTGTCCAACAAATCCCATGTTGACTGCAAGCAAAATGAATATAACAACTACAACCTTGTGTTAACCCAGTGCACACAGCAACACCTACCATTTTGACCTCCCCCCCCCCCACACACACACACACAAAAAAAAGTTTAAAAATCACTTAGATAAAGAATCATGATTTATTTTGCATCTCTTACAATTAAGATGCCACCAAAGAAACCCAAAGCCTCTTATGTGAAGAAGGTGAAGAAAGTTGACGTCAGGACCGAGTGCAGTGTCTGCAACTTACCAGGGACAAATGGTAATCTTGTCAGGTAAAACAAACCTCATCAAACAAAAATTTAATATGATTTAATCTGATATGTACGGAACACCATTCTATGAAAGGGTGCTTTCCCAGAGATTTAGATCTATCTAAGGATTAAGTTTTAGATCGACCTAACTCCCTGGGGGTTCAGGCTAAATTGCAGTCAGCCGAGCGGACACCATAGTTAATTACCACCTTACAGCTTTTAGTAGGCGGGACAGATGCTTAAGCCGGCCAAGCTGACAGTAATCTAGTGAGACTCCCCACAGGGATAGATCGATCTAAAAATCTATGGAAATGGAGTGAAAGTCAGTATGAGGTCTAACATTTTGTCTTTATCCCGTTGACTTTATCAGGAAGCTGAGTCAGTGTGACTTGCTGTGAAGTGATAAATTAATTCATTATAATTATTATTTATTAATAATTATACATATTCTATTAAAAATCATACTATTTAATGTGCAATAGACCAAGATTTAATTTCTATTCTTTGTTGATTGAAATAACAACTGGATGAATCAAGTGTGCCTTGAAATCAAAGTAATTGAGATTTAAGACTGCTACAATCTCACACAGGTTCTCGTCATCAATATTTGTTTCTCCAGGTGTGACATGTGTAAGCTTTGCTTCCACTTCGAATGTCTCGACCCTCCCCGGAAAAAGACACCCAAGCAGCGGGGTTACTCCTGGCACTGCGAGGCCTGCGATTCTGGAGAAGATGAATCTGTAAGTAATGGCAGTTTGGGGGGGGGGGGGGGGGTTGGGGGGGAAATCTACTATTAAAATGTCACCTCTCCCTCCCTCCCCCCTTCTTCTCTCCTCCCTCTTGCCCTAGAGTAACATGACATGTTAACACACTGATATTTTTGTTATTACCAAATGAGGATGGCGCTGTCCAATTTCATGAATCAAAAAGGCATTGTTTAGAATCTTACTGTCTGTTGAAGAATATACTTACATGATAAACAAATTCAAGAGTACGGCTCAGTCTCACTTTGACCAGTTTGTTGAATGGATGAGACATTAGACACGTTACTTGAAGTTGGCTAATTTGTTTGCAGGAGGAGGAAGAGATGGACGTGGAAAATGAAAATGAAGAAGAGAACACCAAGCAGGAGAAAATCGACAAGGGGAGCTCCCCATCTAAGGTCAAAGGTCACAGCCCAGAGATCAGTCAAGAAGGCAGCGCCAAAAAGAAAAGCTCTCCTGCTGGTGGAGAAGGTCGTAGGTCAAAGTCGCCCAAAGGTCACCCAAAGGTCAAAGGGAAGGAATCGCCAGCAAAAAGCGAGGAAAGCAAAAAAAGGAAACAGACCACACCTACCAAGTCTGACGATGTGGAAGAACATGATGTGCCCGTTTGTACCAAGAAAAAAGGCCCCTCTGGTTCACCAGGTTCCAGCACAAGGCCAACCTCTCCCAAATCTTCAGAGACATCAGATGGTAAAAAGGATTCAGCAGACAAAGTTAGTCCCAAAAGAGCCAAAAGCATGTCCCCAAAAGGGGAAGGGAATAATAAAAGGAGCAAGACCCCAACCAAAAGTAATTCTCCAAAATCTACAAGTCCTGGCATTCTTATATCACCTTCTAAAGACCTTCTTCTCAAAGCAAAACCAGTTATTGAGGTGGAGGATATAAAAAGTCCAAGTAAAGTTAAAAGGGAAAGGAACCCAGCTGTATTAACTGAGTCAAGTCCCAAAAGGAAGACAGGTGCTGGGAATAAGTCACCTAAAATGTCAAAAAGTCCTGAAGAAGGAAAGAAATCTGCAAAAACAACCAGTCCCAAAGTCAAAACTAAAAAAGAAAGCCAAGGTCAGGTCAAGGTCACACCTGATAAGAGTCCATCAAAAGAAGACAAAATACCACAAGAGTTGGAGCCTCTGGATACTAAAACAGGAGAATTAAGAAAAAGCCCTGGAGAAAAAATAGAACATGGGAATAAGAAAGATCTGCCTAAAATTCACCAAGAACCAAAGGCTTCCCCAGAGAAGAAGTCTAAAAGTAAGGCCTCAAAACTTCCAGAGACTGCAAAGTTAGTTGATGAAGGAGATGATGAAGGAAAAGCTGCCCAGGGAAGTTCAGCAAAAACTACACCCCCTGCTGGAAAAGGGAAAGGTACAAGAAACAAAACACCAGACAGAAAGAAAACAGGCAAAGGTGAAAGTGTCGGAAAGAGTGCAAAGCAGAAAAGTCCAGACGGTAAGAAACTTGCCAAAGAAGACAATGATGAAAAGAATGGAAAAATGAAAACACATGATGTAAAGAAACCTGAGAAAGATGAATATGTGCAAAAAGGATCAGATCCCAAGATTCCAGAGGGAAAGAAACTTGGAAAAGATGACAGTGGAAAAGAGAAGGATTCACAACCCCCAGCATCAAGGAAAAAGACAGAAAATGTTATGTCAAAAAAAGTTGATGAGTTCTCTGACAAGGAAGAAATGGAAGGTACTAAAAAAACAGAAGAGTATGACCCCCTCCCAAAACCGACTTCAAGGAAGGTAGATGAAAATGAAGATGAAAAGAAAAATGTTCTGCCTGAGGCATACAAGCTGTGTTCTGAAGAAGCTTCAGCTTGTCCTGGGGCAAAAGAATCGATGCCATGTGACCAAGAGGAGCCCAAGTCTAAGCAAGTAAAGCCTTTGGTTCCAGATGCTAAAGAGGACCAGGAAATTAAAACTGATGAAAACCACTAGATTTTTCACAGATTATTGCATGATTAAACTAAAACGGAACTTTTAAGGTTTATCATAGCCTCTTGTGCAATGTCAGTGATTAAAAAATTTAATTTTTTCTTAAGAGACTAAGCAATTTTACATATTTTTTTTCTTTTTGGAAGTTTTGTTTATTTATTTATTTATTATTTTTTTTTTTTTTTTGTGAGGATTGAATTTTTCTCAGTGCATTTAATATTAAACGAAGTGAATTATTTTCCTCAAGCGTGCTGAAGTGCTTCAAAGCAAAAAAAGAAGGGTCTGCTTGGATATTGTTTTAACTCCAGAACTTGTATGCAGGAAAATATTTTTTTAAAAATTGCTTTCGTAAATTGTTCTCCTTTGCATTTATTTTGTGCAACAAACAAATCCCTTAAATTTATGCGATATTTGTCAATATTTTACCTGGCACTTCCCAATATGTAAACAGTTCTGCTACTGATGTTTGAGTTTATTAAACGTTAGCTGATTCATTTACTATTTATACATGTACTATATTACACATAACATTGTTTTTTAATTTTTTTTCCTTAACCACTGGTTAGTTGTCTTTTAGATTTTTAATAAAGCACAGTTATATGCTTGGCGTTTGTGGACCGTACCTTTTCCCATGTTTTGAAAAAAACATAGGGTGAGCTGCATCATTTTACCGAGAAGTTTACCATTCGACAACAGGAATATTATTTTGACTTAAATATGGTGATATACCAACATGCCACTTCAGTCCCACAGCCTGAGACAACTGGGCTGTATTGTCCCAGCCCATTATAATCTGCCGTTCTTTGTGATAGTGGCTTACCTGTAAGACTACAGTGCGTGTTCCGTTTATATATATATATATATATATATCTTTTCCGTGGAAATGAGCCTTTGGAAAGCAAATAATTATACACGGTGGTGTTACAATAATTGGCAGGTCTGGGCTTATTATGCATAGGACTAGATTTGGTCCGGGCCGTTGACATATATATATATATATATATATATATATATATATATATATATATATATATGCTAGACGCTGAGAACCTGAAATGTTTTCTAATTTCCTCGGCAACAGATATGTGGATTTATAATGTATCGCAATCCAGGGGTAGCTGAGTATGCTTTGGTCCACCGATGTCTTGTTTTAATTTATCTCCCCCTTCCCTCCTCCTTATCATAACTACATTACTGATCGATACGAATTGTCCATAAACCGCGCTCCTGAAGATGATAGCACACCAGCGTCCTCGGTGCAACGCTAAACCTTACCTACACGCTCAATCCAAATTGGTCAAGGAACGATGGCTTTTTTTTTTACTATGTTTATTCAAAGAAAAGGATGCAAGTCGCTTCAAGCATTATATGTTCTCCTAAATGAAACAAGAAACGGGCACACACTAAAGCATACGAAAAAATAAAAAAGGGAAAGAAAATAGAAATATGAGAAAAATAGCCGTAACGAAATAAACAGAAAGCCAGTTAACAACTCTAGCTTGATGGATATATACTCCTACGCAAGCTATAAGCAATCAGATGTACAGACTTCTGTCACTAGTTAAATATGTTTGGCTAGAAAATCCTCCTTTGTGTATCTTTTAATGTTTTTTATCAAATAATGAAACGGCTTAATCGCCGCATAGTATAATTACTGCAACAAGTAAAAGCGTCATTTTGTTTAAATGTCTTTAATCAAATATATCAACGGTTTAATCGCTGCATAGTATAATAACCTCTACAAATAAATATATTGACTTAAAAAAATTGAATATCAAGGTTGTGTACACCAAGTAAATCATTCATTTATTTATTTGACTGACAAAATTTTTAACATTTTTAAATCATTCAGGGAAAAGCGAGGCATGCTGTCGTATCCCCCCCCCTCCCCAATTCCAACTAAATAATGACGAAAACACCGTCTTAACAATCCGGCAACCAAGACAACGTCAGGTATTAAGATGCATGTATCCGGGGGATAATGCAACACGCATTGTAGACGACAACCGTATCTCATTAGGCCTACTTATTTCTATCTAGAATCCACGATTTCAGGATTACTTGTACTTCTCAAGGTATACCCAATTTGTCCACGCTTAAATTTTAAACGTTACTTAGAGCTGTCGTGAAAAAGAAGGAAAATATTGTATGACTCGATTTAACCTTTTAACAGGATGCCTAGCAGACACATATGTCGTGAAACAGAAAAAAAAACACTGAAACTACAAAAGAAAGATACAGAAAGATAAAAATATAAGCAAAATGATTTTATATAAAATTACTTACCAATGCACATGGCAGTTCATTTCATAAACTGGCTTCTGTTTTTTATAAGCATGCTTTAATGCCTACAATAGGTATGCTTTAATGCCGAGAGTCTGTCTTGTCTTAAATCATTTCAATTAATTTCCCAAAAAAAAGTTGAAATTAAAATTTGGTTTTTAGATTTGAAATGTAAAAGGAGTAATGTTTTAACATGTTTTAAAATGCTGTGGTGAAATTTGGAAAAAACTCACATAACATTCGTATAGAAACTGGCCGGCATATCGTTATTTAAAATTCGCTCTTGGGCTCCCTAACTCGAAAGCATCGTGCACTGCGACCGAGCGCAAGCGTCTCGATTCCATAACTCGCCCATACTCGCCCCATATAATACATTGTAACCTCTATGTGATATCGCTATTCGCAATACGCGATGGTTTCGAGTTACGGAGCCCTGGTGCATTTTGATTGGCGGGGATGTGAGCTGCTCCCACATCCTGTGGCCATAGTTTTTCTCTTTCGCCAACTTTATATATATATATATATATATATATATATATATATATATATATATGGGAGATGTATGTGTGATCAATCAATTTGATGTTGTGTTATTATTCCCTCATTTTGTGGCTTCGTATTATATTACGTTTGGTCATTTTAATAAATGGCAATAAAGGGTACCGGAGGAGACGAGAATTACTTAAAATTGTGCCGGAAGTGTGATGTCATTTGCACGTCTTCTCTCTCGTTCACCTCCAGCTTAAAATGACCACTCAGCTTCGCTTCTAACACCACTACTCGTCACTTCCGGCCACAATCAGTCTCCTCCAGTACCCTTTATTTTCATAAATGGATTTATTTCTTATTTATATTTGAGCAGAATCCTAGTTTCGTTGTGCTTGTCAACGTTTGGCGGCATAGATGTTATTCCTTTAAGGATATTGTCACCCTTCGCCCAAAACTCCTTATTTACTGCCTTACATACATTCTTTTGGGGAATGGATAAATCTTCAGTGTCCACTGACTAAATTAATGAACATTTAAACATATGTTATCTTACGGGTGACGTCATAATTGCGATTTGGGGGTAAAAACTGAAAAAACGGTTTCTCAAATTTCTCCTTTACCTGAGCGCCCACGATCAGGGATCCAAATGCATAGTATGCTAACTGGCACTTATTGTGTAAGTGCAAACGTATATATTCCTTCTAGGCTCCATGTATATTTCCACGTAAAATGTTTTAATAAACTTCTCTTAATTTAACGTTCCTTGCTCATTCTAAAATTACAGCGTTATACAACATGTACTAATTAAGCCTGTACGTCCTTATCCCTAAATGTTTCAGTCCATGTAAATAGGCCTCTTTCCTCACCACTGTACTTAGAACATCTGCCCATTGTGGCAAAACCTTATTAAATTGCTCCATAGTATTAAATAAAGCCATGTATAGTATGCACGCCAAGGCATTTCAGAACAAGACTATTAGTTAATATATTTCTTTTGTTTGTGCATGAGGAAATTAGTTATGTCTATACTTACTAGGGTGACATTTGTGCTAAAGACTTGGATAAGATAATGCCATCCATACTTCTAAATAATCACATGTAAATAAATCTTAGAGAGATTTCAGCTTACATTGAAGTGTGTGTGTTTGCGTGTGTGGATAAAGCAATATTTGAGCATAAATGAAAAAGAACAGTATCGTTAAAGCTCGCATAAGTATTTTGTCACAGAATGAAAAGGATAATTGGCATATTGTTATCTCAAATACCGCCATATGAAAGTCAATACTCATTGGTCTGACACTAACTGAATAAATAGCATCTCGTGACGTAGTAAACAGGAGGCGGTGACAGAAGTGCTCAAAGCGCTCGATAGCGTTCGGTCTTATTCACTTGTGATCAATGTGGAAAACATCCTTGACCAAAATCGTCTTGGAAAAATTACAGCCGATAATTAAGGGAAAATATCGATTGGCAAAGGTGACATCTTCTTTTGAGAGGCATACAGTACAAATATCACTGCGAAATGATGCCAATGAATTCAAGCGATAACAATACAACAGACGTAACTAACTTGTGGAATCAGCCAGGATTTTTTGATGATACCAGATGGGCCAACATCACCGTGACTTTGTGGATCATTATCGTGGCAATCGTTGGAACATTCGGTAACATTTGCGTACTTATCATCACAAGAAGAACTCCGTCTCTGAGAACATGGTGGAATTCATTCCACATTAACTTAGCAATAGTCGACCTGTTCATGTCAATCTTCGGCTGCCCTGTATTCGTTATGATAGTTTGGTCATGGGATGAATCAACACTTTTTATCAAATGCTTTCTAGGGCGTGTTTTAGCCGTGGGACCCATTATGAATATTTTAGTTTTGACAAGTATAAGCGTCGTGCGAGCAGCAAAATTCCACAAGCCTCGTCTGGCTATCCGTAAGCATATTTTTAAAATATGTTTGGCTGCACAATGGACTCTTGGCGTATTGTTCCTTGCCGCAGTTTCCTCGTCTGACGGTAGGATTGTGATCCTAATGCAATGTCACAAGTTGTGGAAACAGCCACCCGGGTTTTTTTACTTCTTTACTAATGCAGTAGTGATGATCTGTGTTATAGTAACATTCATATCTTATCTGTCAGTCGTGAAAAGATTTTTAAAGCAACGCAAGTTAATTAAACCTTACTACACTGGCTATTCTGTGCAAACAGTATCTGCCAGTGTAGTTGACACGTTTTTGGCGGAACGTGGCGAAAACACAGAAGCATCACCTTCTCCGACTTTTACTTCTTTAGAGCGTGTCTCACGACCGGATCAAAAAAGTCATCGTTCTCGTGTACCAAAATGTACAGCAAACCTGCCATCGGCGATAGACGACATTTCAGATAGAGACGATCACGATCTTGGCCTACCAGAAGTTTCAGATAGAGACGATCATGATCTTGACTTACCAGAAATCCTACCAGAAACCACGCAGCACATGAGCATATCGCAATTTTTCCAAGGAGAAAATAGCTCCAACTTTCAAGTTCGATGGACAAGAGGCAACGAGACCCCTGACACCATAGACATAATAGCACAAGAAGCGACCGAAGAAATGGAAGTGCGCAAGGGTTCCGACATGCACTACGTAAAAATAATACAGAACGACCAGCAGGTTATTGTGTCCAGTTTGATTTTATTAGCCTTTTTTGTTATTAGTATTTTGCCTTTTGTGATTGTCGCTATAGTATTTGAGTCACAATCTCTAAATGTAAGTACAAACCAGTATATTACTAATTTAATTGCATGCTCATTTGCATTTATTAATACATGTGCTAATCCTTACATATATACACTGAGGTCACGGGTATTTAGGGAACGTCTAAGGTCTATAATTCATGATATTGCTAATTATTTTCCGCGTAGAGATAGTTCCTCTCAAACTGTAGAGAACAATTTCATTTAGTTATCTATTGTAAGTCTATCATGTCCAATGCATGAACTCTATTAATTTAAACGACATGAACAATTTATTTTTCATTTGCTGCCAATAAAACAGCAGCAGAGATAGAGCCATAACGTTTTTCATTTAGAACATGTTTTCTCAAATACGACACAGAGATTGTACACAAACACCTGAATGTAGGCCTACTATCACATGTACCGGTAGCATGAATTTGGTCTGTATAACATTTTAATTAAAATCCCTGAATGCTGTAAAGCCGCACGAAAACGGAAACGGAAAAACTATATAGAAATATGAATGAGATGAGATTGGTACAGTTGCTTGTACATTGTGTGCCGATTCTGGTGGGGTTGAGTAAGAGCCTTATTGGCCGTTCCCAAAACCGTAGCGTACAAGCAGGATCGAGCTATCTCCGAAGGGTTTCTCGCTAAATTGCATTCAGTTTAAGCGAAAGTCAGCCCCACCCCCAGCAGCTTCAGTGGGCGTGACAGACATTTAAGCCGCTTAAACAGCATGTAATTTACCGAGAATCCCCTCGGAGTTAGATCGATCCTGCTTGTACGATAGGTTCATGGGAACCCAGTTTGGGGATTGATAAACCCATCGTCAGGCATGAGCAAGCACCCTTATATGCAACTGAGGTTGGGGCTCTTCCTCGATGAGGATGCTTTTATTTTATTTTTTTTTTCACATTTTTTTTTACATTTTTTCACATTTCCGCTACCTGTTCCAAAATCATTACACTGTACAAGTTGGAAAATTTAGGATTGATAGACCTTTAAGTTAGTATAGGAATGAATTTAGTTTGGTTATCATCCATAATCCGGATACGGCCAGGAACATGCATTTAAATACCTATGGAAGTAGGAGCCCAGGGGATGGTTGGTGATTGGATTTTGTTTTGCACGTAAATTAAAAAAAAACATATTGTATTGTAATAGATGCTGTAACGATATTTATATGCAGTGATGGTGATATAATTTTGCCGTAGTACATGTATACTGAAGTACTGGTGTAACGAGTGGATACAATAAATATTTACCAGCAAAAATAACTTGCTAATTATACTAAGAAAACAAGAAAAACATTCATTAAATATTTTGCCATAGCAAAATTTACGTGGATATTTAATTTGGTTATCATCCATAATCCGGTTGCAACAGTTACAAAGTTTACATTGGTACCGACCATTTTTTTTCTCATGTATGTCATTTGCACTGAAGTCCACGTATAGGGGATACAGGCTTTGAACGCACTTCATCTGTGAAAAACAGTGAAAAAATATGCAAAAAAAAGGGAATTGAACATAAGTTCAAATCACCATAGCAACAAAAATAAAATGGGCACCCATCAATTTTCAATCTTAATATGGATATAAAAGTCGCATGTTAAAATTTAAGAATATTTTATTAGACAGAAATCTCATAAGGACATTAACTTAAGCCACCTATGCACTGCCAATCAAATTGTCTCGATGCGTTTATGTCATTTTCGATTTTATTATTGAACATTTTTAACTGAGGGTCTCTCTCCGTTAATAGACCGCTCCCTCCAATTTTGTTATGACATAAATAGTTCATGGTAATGAAACACACCACTGCAGGAGGCACAATGTGATAATTAATAGAATGTAAAAAATCTTTATGCTATAATTATGCACCAACAAAGCGTCAAAGCGAGTTCGAAAACATGTTTACATGATGACCCAAATCCAATATGAACTGAATTAATAAAGACTTGGAAAATAAAAAATAAGATATTCTTATAACGGCAACCAAGAAATACTTTTAAAGACAATGGTAGAAAAGCTCCATTTGATTTCGTTCGGTTTGCACCACCCTGAAAGTCAGGACACTGTAAACCTAGCTTGCTCACTATACCTTTTCATGTGTTAGCTTTACAGTACACTCTGTATTGCTGATGTGGGTTATATATGAAATTAAGCTCGAGCTGGCAATACCGAAATCTAGAACCTAGGGTAAAGTGCACAAGTGCCACTCCAATTATTTGTGATGTGATGAGACAGTTACGGTCAACACGATAACTCGCGAGGCACCGCTGTACAATCGCTTTCTTAGCCTCGACCCTTGTCATCTTGCCCATGCACCACAGACTGAGCCTTTACTATGTTTGGTGAAGCCTAGAGAGCACTCACAACAGAGTAAATCCGCGGACTAACAGATCCGCGGATCAAATATGGCCGACCTACTTGAAAGCTAGCCGTGTAATCCCCGCGGGTAATCTATTCAGTGTGGAGATTATGCGGCTAGCTTTCAAGTGGGTCGGCCATATTTGATCCTCGGATCTGATAGTCCTGGGATCAACTCTGTTGTGAATGCGGCCCTCGCCAGCTGGGGCCCTTCTGGTATGATATGCATGCATGGTAAGTATTATAGAGAAGTGTAGATCACAGGATTTAAGTACAAGGGTCGTAGATAAGAGATACGATGAAATACTGTAAACACGGCTTCAGTGTACGGTCAATACGGTAGAGCCTCTTGAACACGACGCAGACCTAGAATGAGGGCTTGGTAACAGATTTTCAAATGCTAAGCTAAAACCTAAAATGTTGTAAATACATGTAAATGCAATAAATTTAGAAGTTCGAAAAAAAATCTTAGTAACAGAACAACAACAAAGAGGGATCAGCACATGGTACTTTGATGATTTTGAATCTTGCAACGAGAAATTAATAAAATCAATGTCAAAATTGAAATCACAGTTATCAAGTGAAGATTTTCATATTTTTCAACGTAATACCATTTGTTTAAAATCAAAATGACAGATAGAACCCTGACTATAAATTTGGCACTCTCTTATCACCCCGTGTATAGAAGGTGGGATAAGTCAACCTGAATGACCTCATTTTAGTGCGCCTCAATCGACATTTTGGTTACAAGGTGAGACCACATAGACAGAACTATGAGTAAACTGGTGGGCAAGTGGAAATTCGAATCCAGTGAGGGATGGGAAGAATACATGAAGGGTTTGGGTAAGTGCCTTTACGTACCTCTCCATCCGGGGCCCTATGCCCCTCCCCCAACTCCCCTCCCCCAAAATAAAATGATGGTTTAACTGGCCAAGCGTTAAGACCAACATCGCGTAGACCCCGTTTCCATACCTAGATCGATCTAACAAGATCGACCCATCTCCGAGGGGCTTCTCGCTAGTTGTATTCAGCCTAAGCGGCTCTGATATCTGGCACGCCTACTGAAGCTGTAGCCGGAGGGGGTCTACTAAATGTAAAGCAAATTAGCACGAGAAAAAAATTGGTCATTCCACAAAAACGTGAACATTATTTGGCGTCATGAGAGATTATATAGTGAGAGACCGTGAAAAAAGTAGGGAGTTAAACAATCAGTGACGTGTACCACCCAACTTTAAGTTCGTTCAAATTTTTATCAAGCAACAAAAGGCCTCAAAATTTGAAAGACAGTAGGAGGTTTTTAAAGGGGTTTTACCTTTAATGACTTTAATGACCCTTTTTGGATAGGAAAATTGCCTTGTCCATTAAAAAGATCAATGAGAACTGTATAAAACAAGGATTGATTATGTCCTACTCAAATCGCAATTTCTGTTATCTCTAGATGTTGGATTTGCTCTAAGAAAAATAGGCGGAATGACAAAACCACAGGAGGAAATTTCCATTGACGGCGACTTCTGGCAGCTTGACATTTTGTCTACTTTTAAAAATATCCACCTCAAGTTTAAGCTGGGTGTGGCGTTTGAAGAACACACGGTAGATGGCAGAACTGTGCAGGTAAGCGCCAAATTTCTTTGAAGGTGCACAGGAACTCGTGCATTTACGTTTATACAAGAAAAGTACAATTATGTTAATAATAATGCCCGTTTGAAGGTCCTTCTACCATGATTTATATATTTTATATGAGGTTGCGGTAGCACAAGTACTGCACTATTTTCATGGATAGTGTTTTTGGTGGCAAGTTGTTCCCTCTTGTAATACTTTTTCGGTTTATATGTCGCGTTACAATTAAGCGACGGATTTTCTTCTGTGCGCTCTGAAAAGGTGTTATCGCATATTTCTGGCAAGTCATGGAAAACGAAATACCAACAACACCAAGAGCTTGTTTTTTCTGAGATGGAAGATGTGGCCTTGATTTTACACGTGGTATATCGTCTTAAAATTGCCAAGAATCCAAGTTAGCTAAATCTAAAGACATTTTGTCATTTTGATATATCTTTTTGGAATATCTTTATTTTTAATACAAAGTATAGCATGTAATGAAAGGTGGTAAATCTCCGAAGCGTTATGCGCTCACCTTTCGATAATAATAAAAATAATAGTAACAATAATCATAAAGTTAATAATAATAATAATAATAAATTTTGATGAACACATCGACACATTTAGTTTTCACGTGCAGTTTTTAATTCACATTTCAATATCATATACATGTGCCTTTTTAGATACATCAATTCACTTTCAGCTGCTATTATCAGCATGTCTTCATGAAGTTGTTATTGTTATGTACCCTTTACCGGGGCGATATATTGATTTTTCACAGATATTCAAAGATATGTCTCTAGATAAATAGACAGTCATTTTGGTCTGCAAAATATGTCCACAAAAATAACTGCGGCCCTGGTAGAGGGTAATTGTCATGCATGTTGTAAAGTATTTTTTCAGTTCTCGACGCTGCTCTTTTACATGATCTTCCTCCATTACATCTTCATCTTTTGATTGCGGTAATTTCACTGTTAGCAAGTTGTTAACAGTGTTTTTTTTATTTAAACAGGAATACATAGAACAGTTAACACGTTGTTGATCCACGATTTTTTTTGCATAGCAAATACTGAGAAAGAATTGTATTCGAGAAAGAATTATATATTCGGACGGCGTAAAAGCGAACACTGTCGGATCAATAAATATTAACATATATACTCCTGAAAGTTGCCAGTGTGTCTTTGTCAAAATACGAGATCATACAATTCAATTCAATTCAATTTATTTCTGTACTGGTACATAAATAATCATGACTTTGTACAATGTAATATAATAAAACAATACAATTGGTGCATTACCAGTCTCTAATTGGTAACTGGATTGCCAGTTTGTGAGTGAACAAGTATATATCTTTAAATGTAAAACAAAACAGTTATAGACTTAATGTTTTGATCAGCAAGCGGCTGTGTCTTCTACATGTATTTGTCTTGTATGCAAAATTCGTGACAAAAAAGCTCTAGACTTTGTGTTTCCATCACCTCAATGAATTATTGACCCTCTACAGGGAGAAATGACCCCCGCCTTCGGCTCTACTCGTGCAATAATCTACAGCTTATGTAGCTTATTTCGTGATGCATTATTGTTATATCTTTTACACATGTATTTTGTCTGTTAATCCACTTGGTGGTTTGTAGCCATTTTATATGTCTTCATGCTTGGTATATAAAGCTGGCATTTTAGTAATTTGCCTAACAGTAGAATGATATCTTCTCATTTGTCCCTTTTTAGGTATTGGATTTCCTTAACTCGTAAAGCTCATTTGTCAATAATTATTAAAGGTAAAAATTTCAGTGCAGATTCAGTAAAATGTAGATTTAGAATTTTTTACGGATCATTAATGAGTTACTTATCACAAAATACAGTCGTAATGCATTTCATACAAAATGATATGTTATCAACTTAGTGTATCTCGCTAGGATAGAACCTCTCATGCCTTTTTTTTTTCGTCCTCCGCATCCGTCGTTGCTAAATGTATAAGACAAATACCCCACTTGTCAGCAAGGTGAGACATCCTTTTGTTATTTGCATTCGTGTTGGTCACATGTATTTACCAGGGCTTGTTTTAGAAAAGATATTTTGCCCGAAAACTGGCCTAAGCTTTTAGAATAAATTTTCACTTTCCGCTGACCTAATATAAATCAGTATTAAAGCAATCTGACGAAATCTTGCCCGCTTTGCATAACAAGGAAGACGCAGCTTATGTTTCTAATTATTTACTGGGTTCGTAGCAGTACGGCGAGATTCCTTTGGTGAAATATATTACTCATTGGTCTCTACTCGGACTAAAAACGATCTAGGTTCGACACAAGATTCCCCACTTCAGTTATCCCCGGAGAGCAAAGCAACACAACACAGCAGCTTCGTTTACAAAATTCAAAACTAGTTTAATATCAGGTTTGCCTGGTTTCTAAGTTGAAGTGATTTGACAGAATAAAGATATTTTAGCAAGATAGACGATTAAACTTTAAAAAGAGATAAAGGCAATTTAAAAGATACGGTCATTGCGAAATAAACTATTAGGGGCCGTGCGCACATGGCGGCAACACCAAGTCTGTTGATTATTTTCATTTGTACACACCTTCCTTTTTTATACTAAAATTATAGAATAAGGTATTGCCACAATGGGCAGATGTTCTGTTTACTGAAAAATTTCGGGATAAGGACCACCCAGGTGCATTGGAACTTGCTGTATGACGCTGTAATTTTAGAGTGAGTAAGGCAACGTTTAATCGTGGGAATTTTATTGAACATATAGTCTGTGTGGGAGGCAAAGCGACAGTCTAGAAGATATTATGTACCGGTGTCGGCACCTTGATCACTCGTGGAAATGGCAATTAAGGACATGACAAGAAGAATGGCTGAATTGGTTTCACTTGTTCCGGCATCTCAGTTATGCATGTATATAAAAGTCAACTACAAGCAATACATATTATATTGTATTATACGAATGACTGGTAAAAAGTGCATATGGTCAAATCCACCTAAAACATATCCGATAAGACAATGCCGTCTATTTTGGAACTTCATCAGTTACATGTATTTCATCTCATTTTTAACCAAAGTATGTGTCGGACTGAGACATAACAACAAGAAAAATTGTTACAAAATCACCACCGTTTTTCTTATTACCACCAAATGAGTATGAAATAGAGCATTCAGTTCCAGTTCCACAGTTCATATACTGGAAATAAAATACTGAGATAGCTAAATGAAATTGTTCTCTACAGTTTGTGAGGAACTATCTCTACGAGGAAAATAATTAGCAATATCGTGAATTAAGGACCTTAGACGTTCCCTAAACACCCGTGACCTCAGTGTATATATGTAAGGATTAGCACATGTATTAATAAATGCAAATGAGCATGCAATTAAATTAGTGATATACTGGTTTGTACTTATATTTATAGATTGGGACTCAAATACCATAGTGACAATCACAAAAGGCAAAATACTAACAACAAAAATGGCTAGTAAAATCAAACTAGACACAATAACCTGCTGGTCGTTCTGTATGATTTTTACGTAGTGCATGTCGGAACCTGTGCGCACTTCCATTATTTCGGTCGCTTCTTGTGCTATTATTTCTATGGTGTCAGGGGTCTCGTTGCCTCTTGTCCATCGAACTTGAAAGTTGGAGCAATTTTCCCCTTGGAAAAATTGCGATATGCTCGTGTGCTGAGAGGTGGGAACGGATGGGGTTTCAGGTAGGCCAAGGTCGTGATCGTCTCTGTCTGAAATGTCATCTATCTCGGATGGCAGGTTTGCTGTACATTTTGGTACACGAGAACGATGACTTTGTTGATCCGGTCGTGAGACACGCTCTAAAGAAGTAAAAGTCGGAGAAGGTGATGCTACTGTGTTTTCGCCATGTTCCGCCAAAAACGTGTCAGCTACACTGGCAGATACTGTTTGCACAGAATAACCAGTGTAGTAAGGTTTAATTAACTTGCGTTGCTTTAAGAATCTTTTCACGACTGACAGATAAGATAAGAATGTCACCATAACGCAGGTTATCAATAGTATAGAAGTAAAGTATAAAACTCTGGGTGGCTGTTCTCCGACCTTGTGGCATTGCATAAGGATCACAATCCTACCGTCAGACGAGGAAACTATGACAAAGAACAATACGCCAAGAGTCCACTGTGCAGCCAAACATATTTTAAAAATATGCTTACGGATAGTCAGACGAGGCTTGTGGAATTTTGCCGCTCGCAAGACACTAATACTTGTCAAAGCTAAAATATTCATAATGGGCCCCACGGCTAAAACACGCCCTAGAAAGCATTTGATAAAAATTGTTGATTCATCCCATGACCAAACTATCATAACGAATACAGGGCAGCCGAAGATTGACATGAACAGGTCGACTATTGCTAAGTTAATGTGGAATGAATTCCACCATGTTCTCAGAGACGGAGTACTACTTGTGATGATAAGTACGCAAATGTTACCGAATGTTCCAACGATTGCCAAAATGGTGGTCCACAAAGTCACGGTGATGTTGGCCCATCTGGTATCGTCAAAAAATCCTGGCTGATTCCACAAGTTAGTTATGTCTTCTGTTGCATTGTTATCGGTTGAATTCATCGGCATCATTACGTAGTGATATTTGTTTCTAGAAGAAAGATGTCACTTTTGTCCAATCGATTTTTTTCTTAGTTATCGGCTGTAATTTCTCCAAGACGATTTTTGTCGTGGATGTTTCACAAAATGATTCACAGTAAATAAGACGGAACGCTATCAAGCGCTTTAATTAAGCACTACTGTCACCGCTTGCTGTTAACTACGTCACGAGAGGCTATTTATTTAGCCAGCTAGTGTCAGACCAATGAGTATTGACTTTCACATGGCAGTAACTGAGCTCATTAGGTGGCAATTATTCTTTTCCTACTGTGACAAAATACTTATGCGAGCTATTACAGTACTGTTTTTTTTAACGCTCAAATAAGTATGGCCTTATCCACACACACGCAAAATCACACGCGCGCGTGCGATCGTGCGCAGTAACACACACACACTTCAATGTGAGCTGAAATCTCTCCAAGATATTTTATATGCGATTATTTCGAAATATGGATCACATTACCTAACTTGATCTATCTAACGCTAACGGAAGTCTTTAACACCATGATGCCTTAGCAAGCATAGACAAGACTACTTTTCTCATACACCAAGTAAAAAATTATGCTTATGTCAACAGCGTAGGTACATATCCACTAACAGTCTTGTTCTGCAATGGTCTGGAGTACAGTTTTTTCAGGACATTTTCGATCCTCTAAGGATTTATCAACGCAATTCGTAAAACATTATGCATTTGCTATTTATGCGTACTTCAGTGACGAGGTCATCGTGACACTGTGGCAGTGGGCAACATAGGCTAGGCCTACTAGTTAAGTATCAAGCACATGTAAATTTATTAAACGTGGCGTCGGATCGCAGTTTTCTGGTATAACTACTACAGTGAACGTATTCAAGTCTGCACGTGAGAGACACAGAAACGCAATTGCTACAGAATAGATTATACTATCTTTAAAACTGGTGCATCTAGCGCAATCATCCAAAGAGGAGCATGCAGCACAATCAGCCTGTTTATTTACTACTGCATATACATAATCATGTCTGTAGGTTAGAGATGCAGAAACGCAATTGCTGCCTCACTGATTCTTTCTCTCTCTCTCTCTCTCTCTCTCTCTCTCTCTCTCTCTCTCTCTCTCTGGTGCCATGGTCGTTTCGACCCTCAGCGATTTTATGATGCCAGGTTCAGCGTCCGAATCCTTGCTGCGTCCCATATTTTTCTTTGTGTGTTCATTCTTGTGTTTTTCTTTAGTTGGTTTAGGAACAGGAGCCTTTGTCTACCTCTAGTTTTCTTCCCAGGAGTCTATCTAGCCAGGATGAGGTCTTCGAGTTGGCCTTCTCTAATGAAAATGGCCGGTGGATTTAATCTGTCTTTCCTTTATAATTCTAAGTTGTTGTCGGTCTTGTCCAACTCGCTTCAGAACTGAGATGTTAAAGAGCATTCACATCGAGAAGAGCCGAGGTCTAGTAAGGCCGACACCTAAATATGGCGGACCCACATGAAAGGAAGACCGCATAATCCTTTAATGGTCTCTCAATGAATGTCACTGAATGTCATTGAGAGACCATTAAAGGATTACGCGGTCTTCCTTTCATGTGGGTCCGCCATATGTAGGTGTCGGCCTTGCTAGACCTCGGCTCTTTTCGATGTGAATGCTCTCTTAGTTTCATGAATATTATATGAAGTACGCAGTATTCGACGGTAGAACCACATCTCTGCTGCCTGTATGTTTTTTAGACGTTGCAGCCGAGAGTCCATGCCTCACTGCCGTACGAAAGAACGAAAGAATAGATCATACCAAACATTTTAGTTGTCTGATTTTTATCAATTATATTACCCTTAAAACAGTGCAATAATCGGTTTATTGGAGCCTTAACGGATATTTTCTTCCCCAAACATTGCACGTGCTTTTGAGAGCCAACTTATTCTGAAATTCGAGTTGCTATTTTTTAGCACATCAAGTATCCGCCACCTCTAAAATTTCTATGCGGCAATCATGAAATGATATTTGTACGTGTACTTATACCCTTTGCATTTCAGTCTACGTTCACAGTAGAAGATGATAAACTTGTGCACGTCCAAAGAGGAAAACCAGCAGATTCGATAATTACCAGAGAACTAGAAAACGACGGTACTTTAAAAGTGGTGAGTACATGTACACACTTAGACTGCATTCCCACAGATTTAGACTGCAATTTTGAGCTCAAGCCTCACTATTTGATATAAATAACAGCAGTGATGCGTCAGACAAATTAATTTTTTTATTTAATGTCGTGGCTAATATACAGAGAAAATGCTGCCTCTGTACCAGTTCCTGATCCAACCACGCAAGATGTAATTAATCGCAAGAGCTTGTCCACACCTTATCCCATATATTCCAAATGATTTGATATACGTGCTCATTTTATAGTCTCTGCCGTATTGAAACTTACTCGGAGAAATAGTAACGAGCGAATTTTGACACCTTTGTTATGTCATATTTATATTTTGTTATGTTATATTTATATGTTGATGCTCTAGCCAAAGCAAAACTTATTACATTAAAAGAGCGCAGATTTGAACTCTGCAAATCATTTTTTGCAAAAATACAAAATGACACAGACAAGCTGAACTACCTTTTAACCTGCAATCCACACAGGAGACCAAGAAATAGCCTGTCAAAGTTTAACATACCAAAAATTCGAACTGAGCGTTTTAAAAACACTTTGATTCCTTTCTCTTTATTAAACCATTAGTGGTCCAAGTATTACCTTTGAAACTCATTTTGGTCTTTATTGTATTTAATTTTCATTACTCAATCCTCTTTTAAACTAACTTTCAGAAGCTTGTGCAAAAATTTATTTTATTTATTTATTTTATTTTATCTTTTTTTAATCTCATTAAGTTCTATTCGCATATCCTGTATTATATATCAATATTTTAATTTGTATATTTTATTCTCACTCCATTTTATGTATAACTTCAACCTTTTGGTTGTCATGTCTAAATAAACTTACTTACTTACTAAATATTTAACAAAAACAGGACTGGTTGCTATACCCGACCAGTTTAAATTTAGCATTAAGGGCGTTGTTTATTGTGTTGCCATGGAGGACAACAATCACTCAATTCAATAATACCCCTATTTTTCACCGGTGCAGATGTTTTTTTTTTTTTAAGTTGTCAGTTTCAATTTATTTGTAGTAAGGACTACATAGACATGTATGTGGAGGGATTTAAAAGCATCGATTCAGGTATAAATACAGTTGTCGTACGCCATTTTGTATTTTCTTATATCAATGGCGGATTTAGGGGAGTGGGTGTCAGGGGGGTCCTAACCCCAGCCCTTCGATTTCTAAAAAATCATACCAATGGTTCCCTCTTGAAATTAGAATTTTGACTAGCTGAATCATAGTTCTAAACTGTATCAAAATGGCACCGTTCGCCCTCTAAAATACCAAAAATTTTCGGGACCCTTCACCGGCCCCGATCCCCACGCCAAGGGGGGAGCGGACCTCCCATATATTATCCATTGTGAATGGACTAGCCTCTCTCCCCCAAGCAGTGAATCGTCGCGGCATAGTTGTAATTTTAACTCACCAATAGTTTTTCAAAGGTTCTTCAAATTGACAAATAAGATTGGCTAATTGGAGGTAGGGGTTCGCCCTTACAACTTATTCTAGCGTTTATACTTCGTAATAAATCCATTTCTTTGGAGTGTGGACGTTGTTGGTACCCATGGCAGTGGGTGCTGATACTGCCAATGTTCATTCTGCCATGGGTCCCTTTTTATGTCTTTTTAATTTTTTATTAATTAATTAAATAATTTTGTTTATTTATTGTTATTATTATTATTATTATTATTATTATGAATAAGCACTTTTCCATAGCCTTAAAATCGTTTTATATTAAATACATAATGTATAGTTACTGCATATAAATTATTTTTTGTTCTAAACTGTAACAAAAAAAAGTATGTTCACAAATCACAAAGAATAGCAGGTTATATTTGATGAGAAAAGAAAATGTTTGAATCGTAGAACCATTAGTGTCAAAATCATTAAACCATTTTACTCGCGAAGAAATGTTGGTGCAGATAATTTTGATTCTGCTTGCTTAACAACTGGTAACCAAAGTTAAGTCAAATTAGAAATTAAAAACTTTTAAGTTAAAACTTAAAAACAAGTAACATATAGCTTATTTCCTACAGACAAACACAGTCTCACACTGAGGTGATTCGACGGATTGCTCCCTTATCCAGCAACTTTTTGGCTGTATAAATGTCTAATGATTCATATGCTTTTGACTAACCCACCGTTATAATATTGATTCCACTGTGTTTTCTTTTACAGACATTCAAAGTGGTAGGGAAGGAAGAGGCAACATGTATTAGGAAATACAAAAGAATAGAATCATAGTGAAAGACCGACATGTATTATCAGCTATTCGCCAGTTTACAGACCATGGTACTACCCCAATAAAATCTGTTATCTTGCAGTAGAATGTTTGCTGTTGCGTCTAATAATTGAAGTACGAATTTCATTCTGAGTTGCAAAGCAAAATCTTGTTAATATGTCGGATCTTGCTACAGGCATAATTTGACATAATTCACAAAGCTTTTCTTATAATTATATTGTGCCAGTGACAGCGATAATATGATTTTTAACTGCCACAGCCCCAGTATTTTGTACGGCGTGAACACACTTTGAAATAAAGCATGTGTTCAGATGTCAAATATGTGCCATAATGTTATAGCCTGTTTACTTCCTTTTGGTTCTTATTCACAACGATCAATGGCGACAGTTACATTCCAAAACCGTGCTGTAGTGTCAATAATTACTTGGCATGCAGTATTTAAAAGCATAAAGAATACTATATAAAGCTATAGATACTAAATTAACAACCAAGACACAGAGTAATAACAAGATTCCCACGCATAGTGAACAACGTGACGGTGACCACGTCAAAGCCCTCGCTTCACCGGCTTCCTGTTACCGCCAAGGCTGCCAGAGGAGGTTGGTGGTCATGATTTACGCTTTAGAATCAGAATATTATTCGTCATGTATCCCGCAAACGTCCACGCACGCACGTTACGATGTTGCTAGCCTGCGGGTAGCAATGGAGAGGGTCTAAGATAGGTATTTGGATGTGTAAGTCTGAGTGCGGTGTGCTCATTTCTTCGCGCACGTGTGTGAGTGTGTGTGTGTGTGTGCGCGTGCGCGCGTGTGTGAGAGAGAGAAAGAGAGAGGAGTCTGTGAGACAGGGAGAGAACCATACTTTTCTGTATGTAATGAGATACAAAATGATGTACCGAGATTTGCATGAGGAATTGTTACAGGTCAATTGTCATGTGTGTGATACATCTAATCACTTCTTGTGGTCGCAGAAAGTACGCATCAGTGACACTAAATCATACAAGCTCAACCTGCCGAGGACACGAGCCGTATTCACCCAGGGGCAGTTGCACTACATAAGGTTAGAGAAGAATGGCTGATCTTAACCTGAACACCAAAAGATTTGTCTAGGATAAATTCGTGATAATCTACTGAATTTTTTTGGTCTTAAACATCAGTCATCATTATTGTGTTATAAAGCAAGTTTAGTGGTTCATTTAGCTTAGCTACTTGTAATTATGATAATAATAATGTATATCTTTTGAATTTAAAAGCAAAATCAATGTACAAAAGACTCAAATAGTATCATAAAAATTTAAAATTCTTGAAAAATTCTAGGCCTCTGATTGTTCAGTTACAATGCCCTTTTCTGTTTGCTTTACTGCCATATACTACATAGCTATTACCATTTGATTTTGACTGACCTTGTAGTTTGCAGTAACATTTATTTGTACTAAGATATAAAGAAAAATGCAAATAAGTCAACATTTCTGCTAGCACTGAATTCACTCATGACCGTGTCTAAGACGCTAGAGCATTTAGCAAAATTAAAAGCTCATTCATTTTTTAAATTATTTATTTATTTTTGTAAGAGAGCATATTACGAATCGATGGGTTTTTATTTCAAATGAAAGCAACGGAAATACTTCACTAATTTTGTTTGTTGTGTTCCATTTACTGTCAGAAAGGGCGGTTGAGGTACAGCTCTCTCTGCCGCCATGTATTTGTAAACGTCTTCTAAATTAGTTCGAATGTGTGTCGAGTTATTTGCTCTGCTGCATCGAATACCGAAACGACACGAATCAGTAACCGCCGAGTCCGGGCTGCATGCGCTGTGGGTGTTTTGAAACAAAGCAGCCACGAGGCCAATGCGATCCTCGTTGTATTTGGCATTTAAAACCATATCCGGAACATAAGCCTCAGCATTTACTATCATAAAAGACCTGGCCTAACTATTGGAATCAGTATCATTCGACGGAGGCCCGGAGACACGTCCAGATCACGGAGACACGTCCAGATCTAAGAACTCGAGCTCCGTCACCAACCCAAGGTTTACTTTGAAGGCCATTCAGGTAATGATAAAATGCAGTTACGTTTTCTCTTCTTAACAGTGCGTTATCCAGCATGAAATAAATTTCTGAACACGCTCCTTTTGTATACCAATGGCATATTTTGGTGTTATCTGACTACCTACTGACGGCATGCCAATCAAAGTGAAAAAAAACATGTACTCAGTTCATTCAAAAGGGATTTGGCATGCAGTGTACATGTATGGCAGAGTATCTAGACGGCGTTCTCGTACACACATTTAAAACTGCATGTCTGCCGAAAGTGGGCATCAAGGGAAATATAACTGATATGCAGGATGTCAAATAATGTAAACATTGTTTCATTTGCAAATGTACTTGTAGGTTAGCTAAAGAGGTGATTGGCTCCAACAAAATCTAATAGATGTTATCCGAATTTGACACTCCATGTTAACTGCCTGTACAGAACAAAGAGACCATGCAGATTCTATGCACAGCTCACTTAGCAATGTAGTTGCGAGAAGAAGGCACCGTTTAAGTATCTCAAAACTGCTATCGCTGTCAGACTGCACATATATATTTTACGTCTGGCGAAAGCCGTCCAAAATTTAACAAAAAAAAAAGAATTTTAATGAAATTGCACAAAAGCATATGTTCGCCACAAAATAACGGAAATAAGATAGTCAGGATTTATTTGCCGATTAATGTTAATTTTGCATAGCGATGGGATGGAAATTTTATAGGATAGTACATATAAAATACAAACACAAATAAAAAAAAACATCAATTCAAATAAATTAAGCACATAACATCGTGTAACAATCGGGCACCTTAAACGCTACATGTAGGTAGGATAGTACATATAAAATACAAACACAAATAAAAAACATAAATTCAAATAAATTAAGCACATAACATTGCGTAACAATCGGGCACCTTAAACGCTACATGTAGGTGATTGTGATGGGACTAACAGGACAAGACTTTGTACCTGATAGTCACTTGCTACTTAAATGTGTATAGTATAAGCTTCTAGATCTGTGGAGTAGTAGTACAACTTCTTTACCAACACTTATGCAAACGTCATCACTTCATCATTTTCCTTTCGTAAAGACAGATTGGAATATATTTGTTTTGGGGACTATTATGCGTTTTAAATACACCGTCGATCATTTGAAAATGTTTTAAAACATCACATCAAAGTATAATGAATCGCATTAACAAACTGCTGGATATTACTCTGGTTCCAAGTGTTAATTGGACAAGTTGTTATGTCGTCAGGGCAATAGGCTAGCGAAATGCAGGGCATTCAGATAAATACCAGGCTCTCGGACACATACTTAGTCAAACACCCCATTTCCATAGATTTTTAGATCGATCTATCCCTATCCCTGTGGGGAGTCTCACTAGATTACTGTCAGCTTGGCCGGCTTAAGCATCTGTCCCGCCTACTAAAAGCTGTAAGGGGGTAATTAACTATGGTGTCCGCTCGGCTGACTGCAATTTAGCCTGAACCCCCAGGGAGTTAGGTCAATCTAAAACTTAATCTTAAGATCGATCTAAATCTCTGGGAAAGCACCCAAAGACAGAAGTTCTGTACAAACCCACTAGTTGCCAAATGTCAGTTTATATTTGATGACGTCTAAGCTAGCGTGGCATGTATGAACTTTTTCTTTGACACAAGTATATTTTATTTTTTTAAGCATAAAATTCCCGTTGTATCTCAAATGTTTGGCAAATAAAAGCTTCGGGGACGAAAGCGTGCATTGCTGCCTGTACAACTAAAATTCCAATTAAGGATTATTATCCAATTTAGGATTAGCACTTAAGGACCTCTTGTCGTGCTATTACAGCCACCAGTAAATATTAATTAACAAACGCTGGCCCCTTGATTCGAGGAAGACTTTCTGTCAAGAACTAGTGTTTAATATGCAATGTTGCCGGCATATCGCTGTAATAATTATCAAAGAAACATTGATTAGCTGACCATATGAATGATTTTCAAGTAACAGAAGTGCATGGAGAATTAAATTCTTGAGTAATGCATAGGAAGAGGCAACAAATCTGGACAGGGCGAAAGAGCACGTATACATTTGTGCCGCAGTTACTGGTCTTTGCATTTTCTGTTCAAGTCAAATAAAGTCCCATAGAACTGAAGTGTGGCATAATGTCTCGTCTTATAGCCCGGGGGTAAGGGTGAGGGTGAGGGTGGGGTGGGGGTGGGGATGCAAGCTGTGTGGATCGAGGTGGCGCGAGGATATGGGGAATAGGTTACTGGTAGACGATTCTGTTTTCCTGGGAATGGTTGAAGGAAATATCTGTTGACCAATTCAGCACGGCACAAGTGAATATGTGCGGATAGGCTGGTCAGGCCTTAGCACTGGTCGTTTCCGTTAGACTACAACAACTGAGGACTGAATCCTCTATCATGATTATAAAGTTTTCGTTTGTGTGAATTGTAACAAGTATTAAAAGCAAATATGGAATCGCTCATCAATGAAGCTAGAATGTATCTATTAGCAACGGATTCTAACGTGTCATGTGAATGAATCACTGTTTAACTAACTGAGAAAAAAATATCATTTTGGAAAATAGGGATTTTATTCTTAAATAAACACATGATCACAAAGGACGAGCAGAAAAAAAATAAGGGAGTATGGAGTTTTTATGAAGTAGTTTGAACGAACATCGTGTATCATACAAATACGTAAAACTTTTGCTAATTGACAAAGAGGCCATCTCATCTTTCAGTGTCCTACCACAGCTAATTAGCACTTTACCAATATCACTCAAAATTTGTAGTGTTTAACCTTTAAAACTTCAAAATTTACCCAAACATGCTCTATACACATGTTTCTGACCAGGTCCGCTTACGTCATGAGTTGTGACGTAATCCAGACTATAAACAGGACTGCACAACCTGGATAAGAGGCTGTTGTTGATGAAAACGCGGAGAAGTGAGAAGTGAGAAGTAGCAAGAATACTAGATATCCGCACAGCAAAAAGTGAGTTAAACTTTTCCAAGGGTGGCTTTTCAGGGCTAACAGGATCGTTGGTGGGGTATAAGCTTGTGTTACGTAGCGGATGATTTTAATCTAACTTTCTGATATACTCCATGTAGTAAGATGCGTTTTTTTTNAATAAA